TCCCATCTGTGGATTATGAGACACAAGAGGCCCAAAAAGAAGCACAAATCATCAAACCCCACAATGCAGGGGAACAGAGGCCACTCATGCCAGGCTGACACTGTCACACCATACAGCCTGGCAGACATGCAGCCCTGCAGCCACACGGAACACAGGGCTCTGCTCCACATTCCCAGAGCCAGAGGGGACAGACAGAAGCCAGGACACCACAGCTGGCTGCACTCCTGAACACTCAGGAGCTTCTCCTGGCTCTGCAGTGGCCACTCACCCTGCTGCCCTGTCAGCCCTGAGCTCTCAGGGAAAAAACCACCCTGCTTCCTTGGGCTTGCGGGGAAACTGTGGGGCTGGGAAGGCTGGGAACCATGGCACAGCTGAGAGGTTTGGTCCAGACAGACCAAAGCCTACGCAGAGCCTGCTTGAGACAGCTTTGATGGACACAGCCCAGTGGCAGCTGCTCCCTCTCACTGCCTGGTTACCGGCAGCAGCAGGAGCTGCCCGCTGACAAATGCAAAGTGACATTTCCTGCCGTGGTGGCTGGAAAGCTCCTTGTGCTGTTTATTTACTCATCTTACTTCCAGTTGTTATTTTGAGCCAGTGTTTGGCTACAGCGCTGCTAAGTGTGAAGATCCCTGTTGTAAATTACTCCCTGGCAGCTACGCTTCTGGAATGTGCCCTGCATGTGAATGTAAGAGACAGTTTGCAGTAACTGGCATGCAGTAATAGACTTTTTCTCACAAAACACTTTCCCATGTGCCTTTTTGACGATTTTCTGACCAGTCCAGAGCGCTCACCTTGTAACTAAAAGAACAAGCGTAACATAATTAAGCTTAACATTAATATTCACTTTCTGCTGAGGAAAGACCTAAACCTGCAAGGATTCTCCAATTTCTGATATTTGTACACTCCCAATGCACAGCATCAGCCACTGAGCACTGAGAAGTAACCAAAAGACTTCTGTGGGGTTTTTTTGAGATTGTTATCCCTACAGCTGTGGTGTTAATACAAACACAAAGCAGCAGAGGCCAAAGAGCTCCCCAGAGCATTCCCATCAATGTGCAGGCAGACACAGGCACTTTTCTTCAAATCACAAAGCTTTTGCCGGACCCCTGCTCTTTTCATGCTGGTGAGCAGCCCTGGGTGTTATCAGCGTCCCTTCCACTTGCCTTGGGAGCTGCCAAATGAATGATTTTGTGGGCGAATCAAAGCGAACGGCACTGCCTGGATCTTGCAGACAAAGCTCCATTCTGTTCCCAGCTGCTGCCTAGAGTTGCTGTGCAGTTTGGGTTCTCTCACACAGAAATAACACTCGAGGCGTCCCTCGGGATAAAGCCACGAATTCCTTCCCTCAGGAACCCCCTCACGGTGTGGCCGCAGGCAGCGCTGGCCCTCACCTTGCCCTAGGGGCAGAAGCCAAGGAAGTGTTTATCAACCAGGGGCGCAACTGCAGTGTTTAAGTCCCTGAACATAATGAAATTTTTTATCTTTTCTACTTTAACGTGCGGCTATGTCTCCTAATTGGGGTCACTGAGACGGCACA